AGTAGGTTTAACCAAAGCAAACAGTAAGTACTCAGGGCAGATCACTACAAACATTCAAAATGCAAAAATGTAAGACCAAGTCCGAGTCAGGTCATGAGCTATTCAAGGGGCAGTCTGAGGCAGTTAAAGTCTGAGTCGCGAGTCAGTTGAGGGTGAGCGTGAGTCAAGTCACAAATCAGTTGAGCGCAAGCTTGAGTCATGTTCAGGGTCAGTTAAGTGTGTGTCTGATTTGAGTCATGAATCAATTAAGGGCAAGTCCGAAATGTGTCACAAGTCAGTTAAGGCTGATTTCGAGTCGAGTCATGAGTCACTTAAGACTGAGTGTATGAGGCGGTCTGAGTTGAATCGTTAGTCAGTTGAGGGTAGGTCTGAGTCAAGTCACAAATCAATTGAGGGTGAGTTCGAGTCATGAGTCAGTTAAAAGCGAGACTAAGTTGATTCATGAGTCAGTTAAGGCCGAGTTGTCATCAGCTTTCTGTAAGTTTGGCATTTACAGTGCTCTTTTACTACAAAAGCCAAAACAGGCTTTGCGAAAATGTCAAAGTATCAAAGGTAAGACATGAATGGACCATACACATTTTCCTGTCCACCATGGCAGCATGTTTTTCGTTTCAATGATCAGGTTTAGGTTTTTTAAGTTTGCTGTGTAGTTTCCCCATCTTTGTACATCTCAGCTGTCTGTTTTTTAACTTATCTAGTTATGTCATTTGCGCAAACATTGGGGAGTGAATGCAGGCTTTATAGTGATGGTGCTGCAGTGCTGGTTTTTTGACCATCAATTTGGTTCAGTATTGTAGATTTATCACGTTTGGTTTTAGCTCACAAACTCTTCTGAAAAGAGCCTTCCTATTCACCTTATTCTTACTCTTATTCAAATTTTCCATTCCACCTTAAATGGTACAGTAGTTACAGGTGGCAGAATTGCAGGACTATTTAAGGTGGAACGGAAAATTCGAATAAGAACCTGGCAAAGTAAACTCCAGCTACGTTTGCCTTCTCAGGGCAAATTTCCAACCTTGACCATGTGTGGCTTTTAGTGGTCTGGTTCTGAGTTTAAGTTCATGCAGTAATGGATGGCAGTGCTGGAGTGTACCTTCATTAAAAACAAAAGCTTTAAGTTTTTGGACACTGTACGTAACTAGACCCATGCGGAACATAGAGCCCACAACCACCTATAAAGTGCCCTAGAACAAAGGCAATACGTGCTACATTACACATAACTGATCGTGTGTTATGTTTCAGGAATGCAGTGGGTTACATTAGGATACCATTTTTTACACTGATGATAAAAAGCAACAGCAGTTAGCAGGAACAAAGCTGATTAGGATGTATGAACTGCCCTTGGTGGATGTCAGGCTGCTCTCCGTCTTTTGTTTTGTTTCGTTCGGTCTCTTTGTTCTCAACACTTAAACTGCCTTTCTCTGTTCACATTATTATATTTCAAAACATTCAAAAGCAAAATTATGGCTTGAGGTTGGAATGACTGATGTGCACTTAAACCGCCAAGCTTGTACGTGTTGTCAGCTTTTTGTTTGAATGTTCCCATCAGCTCTTTCCATTTACGCACTGTTCTGTTCCTGAATGTGCTTGGGTCTCTCACAAGCTTGTCCTCATTGTTTCTGCAGCTGTTTGGCCAGATGTTGTTCAATTTGAATTTGATTTGCACAGACTGATTACAACAAGCATTGACACAAATCATCTCAGAAGCCAGAAAAGGAGTCAAGCAGCTTAAAAGTAACCAAAACTCAGAAAAGGAGCCCATCTACTTGACATTTCTCACTGAAACGCTCTACGTTAAACACATTTCTCAGCAGTTGTAAAGGTTGTTCAGAGTGGTTTGAAGTGAAATGGTTCATTTTTGGAAGCTTCTTGGCTCAGATTTCTTTACTTGTGAACCTACACATGTCTTCTTTTTATATATAATGTTTTTATATGTAATGTTAAAGTTGTTGATGGTAAAATAGTGCTAAATCTGAAATTATTTTGCCTAACAATGCCCTCAAAGTACCTCACAGAAGTATTGCAGTAGTAAGCGGTGTATTCATGATCATTTTTTGTAATAATTTTCTGTGAGGGAGCTTTTAGAGGTAGACGTCTGGTTCCTATCACCACCAATGTGAACAATTTTGACATGGTAGATTTCTTTGTAACGGAGCGGTTCACAACAAACCACTTCGAATGACTTTGTTTACATCTTAATAATTGAATCATGTGGACAGTTTGAAAAATGCAGACAAAATATTTCCCTGTAACTCTGTTATCAGATTAACTAGCACTCTGTGTGAAATGTGACTCTGTGTTGAGCTGCTAGCGAGCAATAAGGGGCAAATGGGAAGAATGAGAACCGTTACGTATATAACTACACAGGGACTTTCCTGTAGTGTAGTGTTAAAGATACACTTTAAAGTAAGTGGACAGTTCCTGTGTAGTTGGTATGTAGGTATTGTGTAATAATGGAGTGGTAATATAGACATTGCTTTGAGGGTAATGCAACATTTTTAATAATTAATGTAATAAAAGTTACATGTTAAGATAAGGGGTCGTCTGCTGTTCTGTCACATTACAGAATGGTTTAAAGTTTAAACAGGTTACAGTGTCACAGCACTAGCAACATAAACACTAGCTAAATGTTAGTAAACTGTCAGATACAGTATAAGTAATGTCTTAATGTACGTTATTACAAACTTCCTTTTACTGCTGGAAAAAGACTTCTGAAAACAATTGCTGTTCCAGTCTGATTACAAATGTAATTACATTTATGTTATTACTGTTACAACTACTAAGATAGTTGTGTAATTTCATGAGACAAAACTAAAGTTGATACACATGTGTAATTACATAAGGTGTACTTCTCTAATCCACCTGTAACAGTGACTAAATCATTAGTAGTTACATTGTTGTTGCATATGTTGTTAACGTGTAACTACACAGTTATTAGAGACACTTAATATAAAGTGGGACCAGTTTTCTTTAGGCTTCATTCAGCCAACTGGCGGGTCTTTCTGCACAGGATGCTGCTGTTGCCTCGGGAGACAGAGAAGGGGCAAAGTGAACAATGCAACACTTATGCAGACAGGAACTGTATCATTTTTCATCGTATTGACTTGGTCACTACCATATCGTCGCTGTCCAAAGAAAAACAAGTGCTTTTGTAACAAAAACATTCTTAACTTTCAATGAAAGTTAATGTAAAGAGATTGTATTCCAAGCAATTTTGGAGCTTTTCTATTGGTTCAATCATAATGAAATTTTCACACAGTGTAAAGGGAAGCTGCTAAACTCAAATTATGCAGAAAACTATAAATTGCAAACAATTGAGTTTTTTTCACACCTCTCCACAAAGACGGCTGTGCTGAGATAAAGCAAACAGCACAACTGCAGCTTTATTGATATCAAACAATTGTGCACAACTACCACAATACTAAAGCAGCATATAACCCTTCTATAAATGTTGACTTGTTTGCTCACATACAAAGATGAAAGAGTTCGCTACCGGTTTTTAAGACATTAAAATACGTAGCTCAACTGACCGACCTCCTCCAAAACATGTTCAAATAGCATTTTATGGCTATTGTGAAAATGGGGCAATGAAACAAACAACTACAAACCTATTTTAAACCTATTTGCCTTATGTTTTGTTCACGGGAAACATACGACACTCTCACTCCCTCATTCTGAGTGCATATTGATAATTATTTGGTACACTTTGGAGCATAGTTAGCTAATAACCATGTCATATTGATACACATTAAATACAACACAGTCGTATGCAAAGCTTGAACAACCCTGGTCAAATCATGTTTTGTTGATTTTCTAAGTGAAAATAAGTGAACCCCTTAACTTTCCAGATTTATTTCATACAAAGGCTTATTATTCAGTAACTACAGGCACTTCAATGCAAACCAATGGAGCTATTCTTAGGTTACGGAAGTGTGTAATAAAACTTTGGGCCCATGGCTTGTTAAGGGGTTAACACACCCCCTACAGGGGAATAACTTTGAAAATGTAGCTTTTTATTTATATCTAATACAAATCAATGCTTGTCTGCAAATTTTAGTGCACAATTTCTATTCTTTTGCTGATTTTATTAGAAAATGTGCAGAAGTGTGTTCACTGTAGAGGATGTGTTCACTTATTTTCAAATGAACAAAATGTGTCATTTGCAAACTTTTGCATGTGATTGTATTTGTACTCTTGTAGTAGATCTCAAAAGGGCCTCATGACCCCCCACCCCCACCCCAAGGGTCATGCCCCAAGATTGAGAACCATGTGCCTAGGTCAAAATTGACTAAGCTCTTCATTCTCATTGGATATTATTAATTTTTAAATGAATGGCATGTCAGTCAAGAATGGATGTCAATGATGATAATGCACCAAGCTGTGTTATGAACAATGTCAGTATGTACTGTGAAAAGTGTAACTTGCCTTTTTACTGTCCTAAATAGACGGTATATATCCAAAATTACCCAGACATCCTTTCTAATTTGTAAATTATTGATGCAGGTGTTCATTTGAGGTGTCACAGCTTGTAGGATCTCCATTCAAAAGCATTGACCAATAGAATGGGACGCTCTGGAGCAGGCACACATGAGTCTAAGGTCACCATGCCTAAGGCTAGAAGGGTATAAACCTGCCAGCTTTGGGCTGTGGAGCAGTGGAACTGTATTCTCTGGAATGATGGAGCTCCATCCAGTACCTTTGGGATGAGTTGGAGATCCAGAACTGATCATCCAACATCAGTACCTGACCTCACTAATGCTCTTCTGGCTGAATGCAATCAAATCTTCACAGCAATGTTCCAACAATTTGTACAAAGCCTTCCTAGAAGAGTAGAGGCTGTTACTGCAGCAAAAAGAGGACAAACTCCCTATTAACACCCTTCATTTCAAAAGAAATGGTGGATGAGCAGGTATCTGCAGACCTTTGGAAATGGTTAGCAAGTGAGTGAGTGAGTTCAACAACCACATAAACACATAACCACACAGGAATTAGATACACACCTAAAATATCCAATGATGAGGATGGCCACCAGTAAGGACCCAAAGGACACGGCGTAGCCCACAGTGTACATGATATGAAGCCTCTCGAAAAAGACTTGCTGTGGACAGAAATAGAGTTTAGTTGGAGAGGATGTTTATATACAGTGGGAATACCTGGCCAGAAACCATTAAAGACGAACACGGTACTGCACTGTGACTTACTCGCTCTCTGTTTGGTCCAGGGGACTTTATGCACTCTGTGTAATTGGCCCATGTCTTATTCAAGCCCTCTCCAAGCACCCAGGAGCTATTGGAGTCACATCGCCTGTAGGCATGGCCTGCAAAACAGCCCACAGTTAGACAACAGAGCACTTGTAAGTGGTGACTTGAGTGGTTTCAAAGAGATATTCATTGAAATGTTCATTAAGGGAATTAAATGTGGTTATTCTATGGCATTTTAAGACTATATATATGATATATATAGCAAACACAAATCCTGCATTTGCAAAAATGGGCCAATCCCATAATCCTAAACTGCTGAGTAACAGTCTTGACTCATTAATATTTACACCCTCAAAATTTACATACACCATCCCACATTCTAGCCCAGCAGGTAATGTGAAGAAGAAAATGGCTGACTATGTGCAGCAATAGGTTCCAAGCCATGAAGGGGATGTGGGCACTTTTAATAACCTTCCCAAGGAACTGAACTGTCAGCGGGCATTGTTGATGTTCATCTTTAAATGAGGCTGAAGTTGGCTTCCTATTCGCCGGCTTCTTAATCCAATGTTCCATTCCACCTTAAACGCTACAGCTTGTACAGGCACCAGAATGTAACTGCGGCACTATTTAAGGTGGAACAGAAACTTCGTCAAACAAGCTGGTGAATAGGAAGCCAACATCGGCTCCCACATCTTTAACATGATCCTGAACAAAGTTTCGGTTTGCTCTGCACATTTTGCTCTGGACAGTTTCTCAAACTTTGGATAATACTGACCCTGTTTGACCCTGAAGAGACGGAGGGGCGGCTCCACTTTTTTTAGCATCACAACCCCAACCACAACTTATAAGAAGCAGCCATGCTGTGTGATTTTATTCACTTTTTGACATTTAAAGCCCGAACATCTAAAATTGTGAGTTTAATAGTGAGCTACAACTTTAATTTACTTTGTGTTGTTGTCGGGAAAAGTGAGTAGCTAGTATAGGTAACGTTATCTACTAGCAAGCTCCAAGTAACTAGCATAGCTAACTGAATAGTATGATGACCGAGCTTATTTACACAAGGGTTCGTTTTATTTGTCTGCCTGTGTCTATTTTGACATGTTGCTTCTTTGTGAGCCATTGCGGTGCCTCACTGTAAACCAGCCAATCAGAGCAGAGTTCATTAGTTTATTCCTGAGCCCCTTCAAAAAAGAGAAGACAGCCTGTTTCATTCTAGGGCCAAATCATAGGGTCTTAAATGGGTGTGTAAAACCACATCTGGGCATTTTTCAACCTGACCAAATCACACCTTCCATGTAGACATTAGAGAATAATTTAAAAGACTGACTAAATGCATTCTGTGGCATCTTTCAATGGTAAATATAAAATGTGCCATAACATAATTAAAATGTGCAGCAGTGTGGTGTCTGTAGAGAATGTATACTTAAAATATCATTTGACCAGAGCACCAACATTTTGCATTTCACTGTAAATTAATTTATTTATACATTTCACTAGTTTGATTGTAATGAAGGACGGGTTGAGGCAAGATGTACACATGCGGTGAGTTTATCACCGTCCAAACTGACAGAGGGTTTTCAAGTTCAAACTGAAATAGAAATTTGGAACAAAAATGAACAAGAGGAGCTACAAACAAAACACAGGTGAGGGACTTGACGAGGGGGTGGAGCTAAGCTAAGATGGACACAAAAGCTGGAACCAGAGCCTGGCCTGGGGCAAGTGATAATTATTGAAAACTTCTCGATTTTTCAAAAGAGATTTAAAATTTTCAGTAGTGTACAGAACAAAACCTCTATTCACTTTTGTTGTTTCCTGACATAATTTGAAAACACTGTGTGAACACTTTGTAATGAATGGACCAAGAGAAATGATACAGAACAAAATCTTGTTCCATTCAAAGTTAAGAATGTTTTTTTCTTCTCCTGAAAAGTGGTACAAGGTTTTGATCTGACAGCGACGGCATACAGAGTCGTATGCAAAAGTTTGGGCACCCTATCAAATACTGTTTTATTGATTTTCTAAGTGAAAATAAGTGGATATATCCTCTACAGAGAGCACGTTTCTGCACATTTTAATGCACAATTACTGTTTATTTGCTGAATTTCACATAGAGGGAAAAAATACAACATAAAATGCGGCCTGTGCAAAAGTTATGGCAGAGTTTCATTTTTTTCAGTATGGTAAACTCAGCAAATAAGAAATTGTGTGCTAAAATTTGCAGAAAAATGCCAACAAGTGGTCTTATTCAAAATTTGAAATGGTCAAAATTAGAACTCCACAGTTTGATTATAATTCCAACTTAACAGCGGTCATACCTGCATGGTTGAAATCGTAGATGTATCTGGGACAGGGCACTTTGATCAGAGTTCCAGGGTACCCCTGCGGCCAGCAGATTAGACCATCCCACTCTGGAGGACACTCGTCCACTGTTTCCAAAATGAAAAAAAGAAAAAGCATCAATGATTGAATTTAAACTCAATCAAACTCACTGAATTGAAATGTTTATTATGCATGAGGTCTTAATTACTAATTATGACTGTACTGCAATGTAAATCATGGAACTGCTGGTAAAAGGGCTTCATCAAGGTCACATTTTACACCTCGGCTGGACTGAGAATAGTCCACCAGCCACAAATATCCAGCCAACAGCGTCCTGTGACCACTGATGAAGGACTAGAGGATGACCAACACAAACTGTGCAGCAGCAGATGAGCTACTGTCTCTGACTTTACATCTACAAGGTGAACTGACAAGGTAGGAGTGTCTGATAGAGTGGACAGTGAGTGGACACAGTGTTTGAAAACTCCAGCAGCACTGCTGTGTCTGATCCACTCAGGGTAAAAGGGGGCTAACAAAGTATGCAGAGAAACAGATGGACTACAGTACCTGCTCTGTGGTATGCAGACATGGACTACAGTCTGTAAAGTGAGTTTCATTTTACTAATCATAAGATTTAAGCTGTGTCACATTGTCAGCATTATGTCACTGTGATAAACACTAAGTTAAAGTCAGTCGCTATAACGCACTTTTAATTCACCCAGAAAAGCATGAGGACAACCCAACTTATGTCAACTTGATATCACAATTGAATAAAAGCAGCCTTAATGACAGACGACACCTCTTAAACTAAGCTTTTATGAATGTTTATGTACATCAGTAGGTTGTGAGCTCGATCTCTGGTGAAGCTACAGCCATCTGTAGCCGGGAGTCCAAGAGAGCACAATTAACCTCGCTCTCTGGGTGGGTAGGATGGCCCCCACTTCTCCCCCCACCACTCAATGCAATGCTATTCAGCGGAGGCGTCTGTTAGCTGACGTAACAGAACTGGCAGTTGGCACGTTCGGCTGTCCAATGATGTTGCGTTAGCGGCAGCTCGAAAAGATGCGATGGCTTCACAGGTCTCTGAGGAAGCCTGTTCTAGCCTTCGCCCTTCTTGCGCTGGTGGTATCACCTGAGTAGTGGGTGGAATTAGACACAACTAAATTGGGGAGAAAATTGGGGAAAAATCCACCCCCCTTCCAAAAAAAAAAGGTTTCTGTATGTTTAAGTCTCGTGTCATGACAAGCTTATGTCCGATGCAGTGTAGCCTTATGAACACTGCAGTACAATAAAGCGTTACCAGATCTACTCACAGCAGTTTGCAGCTTCAATAGAATACACTACAGTGTTACCGTACTACTTGACTTGAACATTTAGGCTTAATATCTACATTTGCTAATGTTATATCTGTGCTTTACCCTCCAAATCAGTGACACAGTAATGGACATGAAATAGGATCACTGATCTCCCCCCCCCACCCCCCCCAAACACACACACACACACACACACACACACACACCCTCTCAGGCTCCTCTGGTCCTGATTCTTTTGTTCCATCCTCAAGCTTTTTTGGCATTTTTACCATCCAAGTACTTTTGTTTGTCTTAGTCTTTTTTCTGCATTGTTATTTCTTCTGTGTTGTTTCTTTTGAAGGCTGTATGAGCCCCTAACAGACAAGCAAAGAAAATTGTTGCTATTTGAGTTAAAAATGAAAGACAATTTTTTTGGACCTTTTGTTTTCAGAGCTTTCATTTTAGGAGAACATTGGTAACTGTAAAGTCCAAAAGTTTTAAAAAGATTCGGGACAGTCTGTGAAATACTAATAAAAGCAGAAAGTGTTGGAGATGTATCAAATTGAAAACAGCATACACACACAAACACACACACAGATACATATGTCTGTGTGTGTATATATATATATATATATATATATATATATATATATATATATATATATATATATATATATATATATATATATATATACATATATATCGCTGTTGTCAGAACAAAAACTCGCATCTCCAAAATGGTAACTCTACAGGAGAAGGAAAAAACCTACTTTACTTCAATGTAAGTCAATGGAGCCAGCAAGTCATTTTGGGCCGTTTCTTTTGGTCCATTGATCATAATTTACAAACAGTGTAAAGGGCAACAGGTATTTTTAAATAATGTCAAAACCTGAAAAACAACAAAAATGGAAATACATGGTTTTCTTCCGATAGAAGCGAGATATATATATATATATATATTTTAAAAGAGGTTAAATATTTCCTAGAACAATACATCTGATTGAAGAACCACTTAGGAGCCTTTCATTTTAAGAGTAGTTAGCTGAGGTGCTTTCAGTCTTAAAAATAAAGCAGGAATACCAGAGAAGAACCACTTTTTGTTCCCTGAAGAACCCTGCTTGAGTGTGACGAACCTTTGTTTAAGAACCTCCACATAATATAACGGTTCTACACCTATTACAGATTTTTCCCAAAACGGAACATCCAAGCGAAGAACCATTTAGCAACCTTTATTTTCAGGAGCGTATGTAGTAAAAGGAGACATTCCTTTCATTCTAAAAATGAAGGTTCCTTTGAGTGATACAAGAGAAGAACCACTTTTGGTTCTCTAACAAACCTTTCAATAGATGTTACTTTAAAGAACCTTTCTTTGGAAATGACATTTTAAAGAGTGAAGATCCTTCTTAAAGAACCATCACATAATGAAAAGGTTCTACATGATCAATTTATGAACCTTTATTTTTAGTAGTGTGCTTATCTGAAGGGGTTGGACATTGCTTTCACTCTCAAAAGTAAAGGTTCCTTGGTGCAAACCAACCACAAACCATTTTGTTCCCTAAAGAACCTTTCAACAGATGGTTCTTTAACCCCTTAAAATCCCAGGCTTATTACATACTAAGGCTTATTATTAAGTAACTACACGGACATCAATGCAAACTGGTTGAGCTATTCTTAGGTTATAGAAGTGTATAACAAAACTTTGGGCCCTGGCCATTTAAAGGGTTAAATATTTCAATATAAACCGATCAGGCATAACATTATGACCATCTCCTTGTTTCTACACTCATTGTCCATTTTATCAGCTCCACTTACTATATAGGTGCACTTTGTAGTTCTACAGTTACAGACTGTAGTCCAGCTGAGTGGATCAGACACAGCAGTGCTGCTGGACTTTTTAAACACCTCAGTGTCACTGCTGGACTGAGAATAGTCCACCAACCAAAAATATCCAGCCAACAGCGTCCTGTGGGCAGCGTCCTGTGACCACTGATGAAGGACTAGAGGATGACCAACACAAACTGTTTAGCAGCAGATGAGCTATCGTCTCTGACTTTACATCTACAAGGTGGACTGACAAGGTAGGAGTGTCTAATAGAGTGGACAGTGAGTGGACACAGTGTTTAGAAACTCCAGCAGCACTGCTGTGTCTGATCCACTCATACCAGCGCAACACACACTAACACACCACCACCACGGCAGTGTTACTGCAGTGCTGAGAATGATCCACCACCCAAATAATTCCTGCTCTGTGAGGGTCCATGGGGGTCCTGACCACTGAAGAACAGGGTAAAAGGGGGCTAACAAAGTATGCAGAGAAACAGATGGACTACAGTCTGTAACTGTAGAACTACAAAGTGCACCTATATAGTAAGTGGAGCTGATAAAATGGACAATGAGTGTAGAAACAAGGAGGTGGTCATAATGTTTTGCCTGATCGGTGTAGTAATCCTCTGGACAAGACTACAATTACATGTTTGAACAGGTCATCTGTAACCTGTAACGGAATACATTTCTAAAGCAACCCTCCCAACTCCGATCGTAGCTGATGCTCTTTGTCACATTGTTGATTTTGCTTTTCCAGGCCCAATTTACCAGCTCTGGTTCTGAACTGAATGCTGCTCTTCCAGCATCCTAATAGAGCGTGTTTACTGTCCTTTTCATAGACTGCTCTTGATGTTAATTTATGCATACACATGAAAGTCATGTTAGTTTATGCATAGAGACTTCAAAGGCAAACATGCAAGGCAGATGCGTGATGTCATTGGGTTGATGACTCAATAAAAGAACTCAACATTGACAAAGCCAAATAATACTACCCATACAGCAACTGAACCACCTGCAACTAGAGGCGCCACATTGTCATATACAGAAAGTTTGAACAATGTCAAATGATGTTTCTTTTTATTTTCGAAGTGAAAATAAGTTAACACATCCTCTACAGAGAACACACCGAAATTTGTCAAATGTTGTTGCACAATTGTTCGCTGAGTTAAGCATATTGGAAAAACACAAGATGTGCCATAACTTTTGCACAAGCCACATTTTATGTTCTAATATGATAGATATAAGCAAATAAGTTAGTGTCTATTAAAATATGCAGAACTGTGTACTTATTTCCAAATCTCTGAAATGAAGAGATACAGTTCATCCTGCTTTTTGGAAATGGTGAAATAAACAGGGGCAGGTCAGCCCCCCATTATTCTGCTTTCAAAACAGACCATGACCTTGACTGCACATGTTCTACATCCCCCACATTATGCATAAAACGAGTGGGAGGACTTCATTCCAAGCAGACTCAATAGTTCACACACTACAGTAACACGAACCAAGCTACTCTATTGTCCTCTGATGTTCTTATTGAATTGAAAATCATTACAAAGACTAGACTTGCATATTTATTTACTAGTCAAAATGCATCAAAATCATACTGTACACTGTAAGAAATAAAGGTTCTGTGCATGTACAGTTTTCTTTCATCAAGGTACAAACAATGTAAATGTTCCCTCAAAGGTATAACAGTGGTTTTAAGGTCCAATTGTGTTTTTTTCCCCAGGGTTAATGTGTGTTTTAGTACCTTTTCACAAGCCAATGTTTTAAAACAGAACAATAAAAAAAGACCTGGAGTCAGTATAACTTAAAGATATATATAATTTCAAGGGAACACGGTCCAATCTGTCCCCTATGTAACGTTGCTGAAGATGTACCCTTGAGGGTAGCACCCCAGTGACAGTATGGTACCTTTTTTCTGAGAGTGTACTGTTTAAAAGTCAGAGAGCCTTATTTATTCAATTTCCACTCAAAGTACAAGTTATTTA